TATGGTTTTGCTAGGTTTACCGCCATCACAAAAGAGACGAATCTTATCAAAGTTTTTTAAAAGCACGAGTCATTTCATTAACTGAATATCATACTTTTCTTAGCCTTAGTGTGTAGTGAAATGGCAATGGTAGCTAAAGAAGATATGGAGGATGAGGCACGAGATACAGAGTTGATTGGATTAAAAGAAAGAAGCCATTGCTACTGGCTACTGCTCAGATCTGGATTTGGTAATACAACTTACACACCAGGGGCATTGTGATTCTCAAACCCCGTCAAGCCCGTAAGTCTTCCGTAGATGGTCTAATGTTCTCAAATGGAGTAACACTTGGTCAAAACGGTGATTTTCTGTTAATACCAGAAACAACAAATGTAGATCGATTCTTAATCCGTTGGGATAAAAGAATCCCACATCAGTGTCGTGAAGGATCTGTCACCTGTTTATAAGTGTCAAAGGCCACCCCACTCATTGCCAATTGGTTTTGAGATGGAAGCCCAAGGTGACTTTGATATGGTATCAGAGCCCACAATCTGTGGACTTGTGATAACTTTGGACCCGCGTGTGCGGGCTTGAATCGGTGTGCTTTGGACTTGCATATATTCGGAGTATGCACCCGTGTGTACGGGCTTGTTGACTGACCCAGCAGTATATCTGGTGAATTATGTTGTGTTGTGCAACTCCAATGGGCCAAATACCCTATTGGGCTTGAGAGAGGGTATTGGGACAAAAGAATCCCACATCGGTGTCGTGAAGGATCTGTCACCTGTTTATAAGTACCAAAGGCCACCCCACTCATTGCCAATTGGTTTTAAGGTGGGAGCCCAAGGTGACTTTGACATGGTATCAGAGCCCACGATCTGTAGACCTGTGATAACTATGGACCCGTTGTGCGGGTTTGTGGATTGATCCGGCAGTACATCCGGAGTTGTTGACTGACCCAGTAGTATATCTGGTGAATTATGTTGTGTTGTGCAACCCCAATGGGCCAAATACCCCATTGGACTTGAGGGTGTTGGGATAAAAAAATCCCACATCGATGTCGTGGAACTTAGGAAAAGTCAAAATGCTTTATAATAAAAACCGGAGGGATTATTTACTTTCTCTCTCCCAAAACTTAGGAAAAGTTAAAATGTCTTCTAATAAGAACCGGAGGGAGTATTTACTTTCTCTCTCCCAAAAGTTATGGATAGTCATAGGAATATATTGCACTTCGACATGCATTTCAATTACAAAAAAATTGTGCCAAATCACGTAACTTATATCATTGCTGGGGAAAGCTATTGGCACACCCATCGTAAACATGAACTTAACTCCGCCGTTCTCTCTTTTTTGAAAAATGCTTCCTTATTTGCAAATATGTCTATGTTTCTAGTGGTTGGCACCTTAAAATTTTTATTCAGTTAACGCAAAGTAATAATAGTTGAGATTATTGATTTTAAATTGTGTAACATCGTCTATAATGTAGCTGTAAATTACATATAAAAACATTATATAATACGTGTTATATTCTTTCTGTTCCAAAAAAAAACCGTACACAAAATATATGTTAAAAATGCTACATAACTCAAAGGTTTTCCATCATAACTTCTCTCAGTTTCGGAATTGGGGAAATAAGTTGGGTTCGAAGAGACGATTGACATTGTTCCTATGACTATCAATCAAGACTCTTGGTGTGATGAAAGAACTATAATAAAAGGCAATCTCTCTAAAGTTATGAAGCCTTTTTTGTGGTCTACAACGTACAAAGGAATGCGTCTTGGATGTTTTCTGCATGGTCAAAAGCTCTCCGGAACATGCAAGAATTGAGGCACATCATGATCCAACCACTGAGGAGCTGTTTGAGCTCCGAAGAAATTTTAGAATTCCAGCAAAATATTTTTTTTTTTTCTTTTTTGTCTTTTTATTTCTTTTTGGCACTAGGAAGTAAGCTATATGCTTTAAAAAAATAATTTTTAATCGCTCCGTCCCGACATTATTGTCTATTTTAAACTTTTATTTTTAGTTTAAATTGTACTAAAAGTGAAATTTTAAACTAGACAATAATTTTGGGATAAAGTGAGTAATTTGAAATACATGTTATCACATAATGATGCTCTTAACAACTCTAAACTCTTAACTTCCTTGGTGGAGTAAATGTTCAAGCAAACCCTTTGAAATATATTTCATGTTGAGATGGGAAGAAGAAAATTCCATCTCTAATTCGCAATATTTAAATATTAAGCAGACACACATTACTCAAACACTTATTACTCATGACAGAAAATAGTCCAATATATATATATATATATATTTTCTAATAAAACATATTCGTTCATTTTACTCCTTTGAAAGTTCCGATGGATTGAAATTTATATTTCATTTTGGGAAACCAAGGAGAAAATAATCGTAAATATTTGGAATTTACCCGGTGCTAAGTACTCCCTCTCTACTACTACATTTTATTTTTAACAAAGCGCATCAATTTCATTGCCAAAGCTCCATTTGGATTCAAGACCAAGAAGTCAATCTATTAGGCCGTTGTTATCCTTCTTTCCGGTGCTGGGATTGATCAAAGGCAATTAGAAAGTTTCTCTCTCTAACCCCTCTCTAAACTCTCTCTCTGTCTCTCTCTCTGTGCAACCAAAGGCTCCCTGTTGAACGACCCTCTCTCTGCTCCATCAAAATGGAGCCAGAGGAACCAATTCCCATGGATCAAGACTCCGATAACCCTGCCACCAAGAAGGTAAGAAACAGAGCAGACGCAATAGAGCCAACACCAGCTCAATTTGGGGGAAATTCAACGGACTCTGAACAGCGAACAACTGAAGGCAAGATCCCGTACTCCAAGGACATCAATCAAACAGCTACAGCAACAGCTTCCACTCCGATACTGTCACAACGGAGCCTGGTGATGTAACTTACACCATTGAAAACGGCATGCCTGCTATTAACTTTGAAGACCGCGTCAAAAGAAAAAAAAAAAAGATGGAATATGCGATGACTTACTCACTGGTGGTCCGGCCATTGGGACGAAATTTCAGCTTGCTTGCAATTGAAAAAAGAATATCCTCCCTGTGGAAACCCAATGGCAGAATTAACCTTGTGGATTCTGTTGATGGATATCATATTAGGGCATCTCCAACCCAACATCCCTCTAAACTCTATATTTAGAGTTGAAATAGTGAAATTCTACTATTTTTATAGTTTAAACAGTGTCAACATATCTAATTCATTCTCTCTATAAGATCCCTCTAAAGGAAATATTTTTAGTATATTCTATTATTTATATTTTTTTTTGTAAAATCAATTTTTTTATTTATTATTTTGATTCTGTTTTAGGTATAACCTATGATGTCTTTTTAATTAGAAAAAAATTTTAAAAATATATTTTTACATTCGTTGTGTTCTCCTAATTATTATGAAATATTTTTAAGGTTTTCCAATTAAAAAGATATCCTAAGTGAAACGTAGGACGAAATCAAAATGTCTTATAATAAGGATATGAGGGAGTATATTCTATCACTAAAATTAATTACATTTAAGAAATTTTATAATTATGCATATGATCATTAATTTAAATAATAATTAGTAATATTAATCATTAAATTTAAATTGAAGAACTTTTATGTAATTAATTATAGTAATTTTTTTCATCATATATTATATCAATTAAATAATCTTACAAATAGCAAAATAGCAAAAAAAATTGGCTCGATAATACTAATAAAATACCATTACTAATATTACATTTAAATCATTAAAAAGACATTACAAATACAAGTCAAAAAATATTAAAAATATTAATTTAACAACAACTACACATACAATTTAAATAAGACTTACATATAGTAGTGTTTCCTTTATGTAATTTAAATAAGACTTACATATATTATGATTATTAATTTTTCTTATTAAGACGTACAATTACACATACATATATTTGCTATTAAGACGTAAATTCTCTAATTAAAATGATATATTAAAATTATTGGATTTTAATTCTACTAATTAACATTAATTAAAAACAAATATATAATCAAATTATAATAATTAAACTAATTAATATATAACTAGGGCAAAAATGACCCAAATAAAAAGTCCTAAATGCTTCAAATTGGCCCAAACAGAAAAGAAGCCCAAAGAAAAACCCTAGATTCAGCCCAAATTTTAGGGGAAAAAAATAAAATAAAGAGGGGTCACCCACTTCATAGCGGGTGAACGGTGCTCCGCCAGATTTGAAGGAGCGCGGAGCACTTTGGTGGAGAGGAGCGGAGCAGAGCGAAGTGCGTTGGAGCGCCCGCTCTGCCAAATCCAACGCGTCCGCCTAGTTTAGCGGACGCGTTGGAGATGCTCTTATCCGTCTCACACATGAGGAAGACTACTACAACGCACTTCTAAACGGTCCTTGAACAATTGTCGACCATTATATCACTGTCCTTCCATGGACGATCAATTTCGATTCAAAAGCAGAAAATATCTCCGCAACATGCATACGAATCCCAGCCCTTCCAGTCCACTACTTTCATGAGGATCTACTTAGAGACATTGCAAAACCAATCGGAAAATACTTGAAGGCCGACAAAAATACCATGCAAGTTGAAAGAGGCAGGTATACCCGGATGGCGGTGGAACTAGATCTGACGAAGCCGCTTGAGGGGAAGGTAAGAGTGGACAAAAGAGAATACACCGTGGAATATGAAGACTTACGAAGGATCTATTTCTACTGCGGTAAATATGGACATACTGCGGAGGAATGCAAACAAATGCCGACGAACTCAATGGAAGTTGCAGAACCCACAGCAGAAAAAACCCTCCAACAGCTCTATGTCAATGGAAATTCCATCAGAACACCAAGTTGGGCCCTCATCATCCAAAGCAATTGAAGAAAATTGGGAAAAAGCGGTACATCTACCGATGCAACACAAACAGGAACCCAACATGGGCGAGTGGAGCCACGCTCTTAACTCAAATAGGAACCCAACATGGGCGAGTTGAGCCACGCTCTTAAACGGGGTAGAAGAATGTCAACCCATAGCCCATCTACTGCCAATAACAAAGCCAACGCTCAAGGGAAACAGGCCGAAGATCAGCGGCCTCCGACTAACCCATTTGCGCCGCTGGCTGATATGGAACAAGAATCAACAATTACTGGACCAAAATGGAAGGTAAGCCCTACTCCAAGTACTCACTTTGGGGCTGATACTTCTCACGTCTTCTCTGCAGGAAAAAGCCCAGAATCACCAAAAGAGAAGAAACAAGGCCTATCCACTAGAGCATCAAAGAGGTAACCTGAAGTACCGGGCCAAGACAAGACTTCGGTTAAAAACCAACCCAACCAGACACAATTGAACAAGATGCAAACCCAAGTGAGCCCATAAAAAATACGACCTTAAATGGCCCAACAACAAATCTGCCACTTCTAACCCCTCAAAACAACCCATCTGAACCCATCGATGCATCTATTTTGCAAAAACCACACACAGACATTCCGACAAAAGCCAATCTAAAGCCACCGACAGCCTGATGGCCTAATCCGGCGAAACCATAAAACATTCAATTGTACAAATCCCCAATCCCAATCCTCACCACCCAACATTGAATCACACCTCCACAAACTCAGCACCATCGGAGAATATAGAGGCGAACACTCAACCACCAGCAGCTGGAAAGCCTCCTCAACCCATGCACCATTTTCACCTCAATTCGAGAGTGAAGATTCAACTACGAAAGGAGAACAAACCGCCTGGACAAGTGGATGAAACAGAAGATACAACTAATCCAGACGGTGATGATATGGTTGAAGACCAACGAGGAGTGGCCGGAGACGACCACTGGTCAACTACCGACTTGGAACAACTGTCGGACGCCGGTAGGTAAGTTCCACTTCTCTATATCTTTTTAATGGATACACGCATAATTGCTTGGAATCGCCAAGGTATTTCCAATCTGAAAACAATTTCAATGTTAAAAGAAAAAATAAGGCATCACAAACCTTTAATAGTTGCTATTTTTGAACCTCGTGTGAGTGGCAGCGATGCTACTGACATAATTAAGAATATTGGTATGGAAAACTCACACCGAATTGAGTCAGTTGGCTTCTCCGGAGGCATTTGGCTGTTATGGCGTGACTGTGTCTCTATAAAAATCCTTAAAAATTGTTGGCAATGTATGCATGTCAAAGTGTGTTTTTCCGATAACGTGTCGTGTTTGTTGACCGCAGTATATGGTAGCCCCAGAGGCTAAGCAGAAATCTACTGTGGGATACACTGGATATCATTGCAGGTTCTTTATCGGAACCATGGATTGTGTTTGACTTTAATGCTTTTACCAAAGAAGCTAATAAAGTCGATGGTAGAATGTCTAAAGGGTGTGGAAAATTCTGTGAACGGATAGAGAGGATGGAAATGATCAACTTGGGTTTTGAAGGATCTCGGTTTACATGGAAAGGCGGACTTTTTCATGAACGGATTGATAGGGCTCTAGTCAATGACAAATGGAGGGATTTCTTTGTTGATACTACTGTTAAACATTTACCCAGAGCGGCATCAGACCACTCTCCCCTTCTCATTGGTTTCAAATGGAAAAACGACACTCCGCCTGGAACGAAAATCTTCAGGTACTTAATGGCATGGGAAGCCCATGATGACTGGCGGGATTGGCTCGCCAACAATTGGAATCCAGATGCCAAATTTCAGGCTGCTCTCCTACAACTCACACAGAGAATGGATGATTGGAAATTCAACTGTTTTGGAGACATAAACATAAGGAAAAACAGAGTGCTCGCAAGACTGGGGGGTTTAAAAAAAATACTAGCAGAACGCCAGCCGGCAGCCCTAGTGGAACTAGAAAAAAATCTAAGAGAGGGAATACGAGACTACGGTGACACAAGAAGAGCTTTTAAGGGCTCAAAATGCGAGAGCAATATGGCTATCCCAAGGGGATCGTAACACAAAACAATTCCATGCTTCAAATAAAAATAAAAAACAGAAGACCACGATCAAGGCGATTCAATTGGATGATGGCTCTTGGTGTTCTGAACCAAGAAAGATCAGCGAGGAAGCCACCGCCTCTTTTAAAAAAGTGTACAACCTGTCTGAAGGAACCAGCCAATGATATGCTATTCGGGGCCGTTTTCCAGCACTCAAAGACCAAAAGATTGCGTACCTAAAGAAAGATCTTCAAGATGAGAAAGTAAAGCAAGCAATTTTTGAAATGAGCAAATTCAAGACACCCGGAATTGACGGTTTCGGAGCTAGCTTTTATCAACATAACTGGGACACAATAGAGAAGTCAGTGTGTGACCTAGTTAGAGAAACATTCGTGATAGGGAATGTGGATTAGAGAATAAACAAAGTCTTAGCGGTGTTAATTCCAAAAGTGAAGAACCCCGAAAGGTTTCAAAATCTCAGATCGATAAGCTTGATCAACGTTTCCACAAAGATTATCTCCAAAGTCGTTGCTAATAGGTTAAAGGGGTGATGTCCACACTTGTTCGCCCCACTCAATCAAGTTTGTACAAGGGCGAAATATTATTGGCAACATTGTTATAGCCTAGGAGGCCATCCAGACAATGAGAGAGGGCAAAGGATGCAAAGGATGGGTAGCCCTTAAGATCGATTTGGTCAAGGCTTTTGACAAAGTTAGCTGGGATTTCATGGAAGATACATTGCAAGATGCCGGCATACCAAAACTCTTCTGCAGGGTGGTGTCGGGTTCTCTTCTTTCGGGTACAACTCAAATCCTATGGGAAGGCATTATAGGAGAAGCATTCAAACCGGATTGCAGAGTTCGGTAGGGAGATCCGGTATCCCCTTACCTGTTTGTACTAGCCATGGAAAGGTTGTCCCATGCAATCGAAATCAAAGTTCAAAGTGGAAGGTGAAAACCCTTACTTTTTGGCTGAGATAAGGTACCTTTATCACACCTTCTCTTCACGGACGATTTAGTCTTGTTCGCAGAAGCTACTGTGGAACAAATGACAGTCATTGGAAATACACTACATGAGTTTTGCTTGGCTTCAGGTTAAACTACAAGCCAAGACAAATCTGTGCTATATGTTTCTCCCAACTTAGCACTTGAAGAGGCTGATCTTTTGAGTAATCTCTGCGGAATACAAAGAGTCAACAATCTTGATATTTTTGCTCAACAATCTTGAAAACCACAGGATATCTCTAGAACTAAAGCAACGGCCTTATGGAGATAGATTGCTAAATTGTGGCCTTAAGTCCTTAAAGGTATACTATGGCTTGTCGACGATGGTGACGAAGCTTGGTCTTACATTGTCGGTTTAACAGTGGAACTTTGGCTAGGGTTTCCTGCAAAAGAAGGCATCGGGGGTCTCTCAAAGGTAGACAGTCCGATGCTTAAGTCAGAAAAGGGTTTAAAGAATATGTATGAGTAGTAGTTTGTGCTAGAGATAGCGTACCTCAATTGTGGTATAACCAGTCCTATTTATAGGCATGAAGTTACCTGGGAAATAACCGAGTCCTATTAGATTTCGTATTGCTCAAACTGCCTTAACAGAGTCGGTTGGGCTCTTTACTCGGTTGATGGGCCGGTCCAATATTGGTGATGGATATGGACTCATCAAGTGCCCCTGTCAAGTGTTAGTTATATGAAATAGACAATACTTGACACAAAATAAGTCTAACCTGGACCCAACCAAGAGAAACAGACAAGTCTCGGCTCATGCTCCATCAAGCAGGTCTGATGAGGTAATTCGCGGGTCAGGATCCGATCTAGGAAGGTGATCTAATGCAGAATCCCGCCTAAACAGACGCAGACGCGTCCATTACTCTGCACGTTCCCTAAACGATGGCTTCAAATCATCGCGCCTCCTTGAAAATAGGCGAACCGTCAAATCGTTGGGGGATTCAATTTCCTTTATACAGATTGGAATAAATTAAACCCATTCTCTAAAATCTTTTCGCCCAAAGACTCTCCCAAAGCCATACTTTGTTATCGTCGCCGGAATCCTTAATTCCAGTGACATTCCCGTTGGCAAAAGCTTTTGACATTTGAAGAAGCCGTGTTGAGAGCTCAATCCAAGGGTTTGCTGAGTCCCTTAATTGCCCCTGCATAGTCACCGTTGCTGTTACACCATTTGTAAAACTCGCTGGAGATTATCACCTCCCTGGGAGGTTACAACTCGAAAGACGAGTGGTCTTTTCCAATAGGAAGTCTCTCCAACTCACTCTTACTTTCTAATTCATTTAGAATTCTAGTTCTGATTTAGATCTGAAGTACTGTGGTAGATATGGCTAAGAACCTAGATTTAAAAACTGTCGATAACTTCGCTTCCACCATAGATTCCGATGAGAAGGTGAACAGTGTAAAAACGAGATATGATCTGCCCCTAGATCTAGAAGCTAGAGCCCTGTTAGGAACCGAGAGGGCTAATTCTCATCTTGAGGAAAGAATCACTGTATATGACCGCTTTATGCATCTAGGGCTAAGATTCCCCCTCTTCCCTTTGTTTGAGGAGATTGTCCAACACTATAAAACCCTCCCTTTCTTGTTTTACACCAAATTTGATAACCTTTGTGCTCTGGTTCGTGAAAATATGTCAACGAGTAGAAGTAAAGCCCCAACCAATCCTTTGGAGATACCTCTTCCATGTTGTTGTTCCCTCGACATCATTCTAAGATTGGTACATTATCAAGAGACGCCTTAGACCTGGCATCAAGAAGATGGTCGAGGCCTATGGTGGTTCACCTGAATGGAATCCTGAATACCACTTTGTGAAAGCGTCGGAAAAATGTTGTGTTGCTTGGAACCATCGAGAAGTAGAAGGTCTCGGGGTCATAAGGGATGAGTGGTCCCAGGAGGATGGCGGTAGCGTCGAGGAGTTTTCCGACAATTTGAAGAAAATCTTGAAGTACTCCAAGCTTGTTAAATGGAGTGATGTGCAGTACTACATTCCCCCTGCTTCGTTGAGGAGGGAAAAGATACTAACATTCTGCTCAACGAAAAAAAAGTTACTAATCTTTTATTCCTGTTTTTAGGTCATGTCGTCGAACAATGCTGGTTCTCGACTGTATGGTGACAAAGACCCCTTTCCTACTGTGAATTCAGATGAAGAAGAGTCAACTACGGTAGCTGCTGGAGCCAAGAAGAAAAAGAAGAGACTCATGAAGATCTCTGAGAAGGAGAAAAAAAAGAAGGCAGATGTGCTCTCCTCGAAGTTAACGGTGCAAGGAGAGAAGACCATGCCTCCTGAAATGGAGAAAAGATGAGGGCTTTTGCTGATCTGCATATCTCGAGGGAAGACCTCCACAAATGGTGTGCTGCCTTCTGGTTCAGGATGTTATCTTCAGGTGGCATGGCATCAGCTATCAAGGAGGTCAATCTGTCGGCCATAGAGTACGGGGCTCACAGAGTAGCTGTTGCAGGCCTTAAGAGGCTTAGCGGAGATAGACCCATCAAGGCCAAATGGTTCAAACAATTCTTGAAAGAGAGCCCTAAGAAAACCATGTATGAGGCCTTGGTAAAGGTCCTCAAGAAGCTTAGCAGTGAGCAGCTGCCTTTATGGGAAGCTCTGTGCGACGCCCTCGTTAAGATGGGTACTCCTGAAGATATGGCTGTGTTTCCCGGTGATCCCGCCATAGTCTTGTCCAAGGGTCTAAGCGATGAGGAGCCGATTCCTGAGGTGCTGGATGAATATATCGGCATCGAGCTCGAGGAAAAAGATGATGAAGCTTTGGGGGAAGACGTGTCTGACACTGGCAACTCTGGAGCGTAGAGGAATGCCGGAGAGGTATCTCGAAGTCATCCCAAGGATGGTTCTGCTGGGCAAGATGTTGTATCAACTCTTCCCTCTGTAATAGCTGTTAAGGATCTTTGTAAATAATTCAAGTTTTTGTTTGTCCCTTAAGTGAATGGCATGTTGTCTATCCCTCCAAATCTAATTTTTGGCCTTTGAATTTTTCCTGAAAACAGGATAGTTGGTCGGTCCATCGGATTCATCTCATGATTTTGTCGGAGGAACAATCAAGGGAATATCCTCTATACTCAATGATTAGCGAGATTATGAGAAGTCACGTAGATGTCCATAGTATCGAGACAGTAGTGAACTTAGAAGCGGACCTTCTCGATGCTATGCGGGCGTGCAATGTGAAAGTCAACCAACATTTGATCAAGGAAATAAAAGAACTCCGCGCGAAAATGCAACGGCAAGATTATCAGAAAGATAAAGACTTTAGTGATTCTCTAACTTTCGAGACGGACATCCATGATGAGCAAGTTGCTTTGGAAAAAGAAAATGGCCGGCTGAAATAGGGCAAAAAGATTACCGTGTCACCATGGTTACTCGAGAAGCATCAGGTCCTTGCGCGAGTGCAGCACATGATTTCAATAAGAATGCGTCGATTTATTTTGGCGATGGATATGCTGAAGGAAAGAACTTGCGAAGCTGAGCTCCTAATGAAATACATAAGCAAGCTTCAGAACTTACTGCTGGACCATAGCGTCAACTTCCCATCCTTCGAGAAGCCCGAAGAGCTGACAGATCCAAGAACCAGGAGCTCTCGAGAGGAACTCCTTTTAAGGTTCATTCCCAGGACGAAGAGATTATAGATCTAAAGGATAAGCTCAACCAGTGCGTAAATCTTCTTAGCCTGCATGGGTTTAAAGGCATTATCCACCCTTCTCCTGACAACCCCAGCGTAGAAATCCTTGTAATATCGTAGGAAAACATGTATTTTCTCCTTGTAACCTCACACAACATGTGAAGACAGCAAACATATTGCTTTATAAAACTCGAGTTTTCTTATTTGTATGGCGCTTCTGTGCCGGATATTAAGTACACGGCTTTCTTGAGGAAACTGGATACGAGTTCCTCGATTTGTTACCGCGATCTACGGGGGTACGAGGGGTTTCCTTGACTTTCGTCCGGACGTTGAATACACGGCTCTGAACGAGGATGGCCCTTAAGAGGGAGTCTATCTCGAGGACTAGTCTTAATAAAATGTCGAGAATATAAGAAAATATGTAATGACGTTTATTGAATAATTACCCGAGGACCCGGGCTAGCATTACATATGAGAAAGTAAAAACAGTAGAGCACGTAAGGCAAATAAAGCAAATAACCTAAACTAGCAAGTAGCAGAGAAAGACTTGAACGTAGAAACTGCGAAGGTTCTGAATGTTCCACCATCGAGGGAGGATGGTTTTGCTGTCATCTATGGCTTGTAAGCAGTAGCTGCCTGCCGGAGAGGCTTGAATGACCTTGTAAGGTCCTTCCCAATTTGCAGTGAGTTTTCTGGGAATCTCTGCTCGACTGGGTTCGTTTTTCCTTAACACAAGATCCCCCACCGCGAAATCTGTTGCCCTCACCCGCTTGTTATAGTGTTTACGGAGGATCTCCTTGTATTTCGCCTCTCTGATCCTGATGGCATCTCGTCGCTCCTCGAGGAGGTCAAGATTTAGCATGATATTGTCATCATTAGTGGTGTCGATGAAGTTGATTGTACGAGGACTTGCTAGGCCTATTTCGACTAGGAGAACCGCGTCCATTCCATAGACCAAGCTATAGGGGATTTCATCTGTCGAGGAGTGGGTGGTGGTGCGGTATGACCATAGGACATCAGGAAGTTCCTCAGCCCAAGCTCCTTTAGCATCATATAGTCTGGTCTTAATCCCATGCAAGATGGTTCTGTTGATTGACTCTGCTTGGCCAGTAGCCTGAGGGTGAGCTACACTTGAGAAACGGTGCTTGATTTGCATTTCTTCATACCATGATTTGAAGGGGTTACTCTCGAATTGAGTCCCATTGTCAGAGACAACGATCCTCGAAACTCTAAAACGGCAGATAATGTTTTGCCAGAAAAAGTCCAACACCTTCCTTCCTGATATTGAGGTCAACGGTTTAGTTTATACCAATTTAGTAAAGTAATCTACTGCTACGATTACCCATCTTACTCCTCCTGCCCCTTTTGGATGAAAAGGGCCGAGAACGTCAGTGACTCATAGATAGAATGGCCATGGACTTTGAATGGTGACCATCTCGTGTTGTGGTTGTCGACTAATGGGGGAGAAGCGCTGACATTTGTCGCATTTTTTGTACAAACTGGTATGCATCCTTAAAGACTATGGGCCAAAAGTACCCTGAACGTAGTACTTTTTGGGTGAGTGCTCTCGCTCCCATATGGGCTCCACATGATCCCTCTGTATCTCCTCGAGGACATAAGCTGCCTGTTTCGGTCCGATGCATCTCAGCATGGGTAGTAGGTACCCGTGCTCATATAAGACCCCATCTCTCAAAGTGTATTTAACTGCTTTCAACTAGAGTGCTCGAGCATCCATGTGTCACCATTTTCGGTAATAGCCATTACGAGAGCCTTCTGAATACTAGGTATGGGGAGGATCTCGACCCAAACCTTGTGACTGAGATGTGCAAAGTTTGAGGAAGCCAATTTGCTCAATGCGTCTGCCCTTTTATTTTTGATCGTACGACGTGAGAGATGATGCACTCTTTGAACTGATCTTTTAATTCGAGGACCTTCCCGAGATATTGTCTGAGCTACTCATCATTTGTCGTATAATTACCCAGGATCTGATTTACTACTACCGGAGAGTCGCTAAAAACTTGGATTTTTTGAACCCTCCGCTTTAGAGCCATATTTAACCCTACTATTAATGCTTCATATTCAGCCACGTTGTTAGTAACCAGGAATCCAAATCTCAATGTGTAAGTGTACTCCGCATCATACTCTTTCATGTTCTCTATCTCTGGATCGGCTGAAGGTTTCGCCAATATGATGCCGACTCCCCATCCCTCGTCACAACGGGAGCCGTCAACGTATAATGTCCAGGCTCGATGATTGACATTGAATCGGGCAGTACGGTGACTCTTAGGCTTCGGGGCTTCCCGGACGCTAGTAGTTCGAGGCATTTCTACAAGGAAGTCTGCGAAAGCTTGGCCCTTGATTGCCGTTCTTGGCTTATACTCGATATGGTGCTCCCCTAACTCGACTACCCATTTCATCATTTTACCAGAAGCTTCTGGCTTGAGAAGAACTTTCTGAATGGGTTGTTCTGTTAACACCCGTATCGGATGTGCTTAGAATTATGGATGCAGGCGTCGAGCAGCCATAACCAAACTCCAGATAAGTCTCTCCATGGGCGTGTATCGTGTCTCTACACCTTGTAACACTTTACTAACAATGTAAACATGAATTTCCTTGTCATCCTTGTTTTGGAGTAGGACGGCTGAAATGGCCTTTTCTCGAGCGGCGAGGTATGTATATAAAGTCTCCCCCGGTTCCGGCTTGGCCAATATAGGTATCTGTTTAAGATGTTCCTTTAGCTCTTGGAAAGCTTTTTGGCATTCCTCATTCCACTCAAACTTTCTGCCTTTTCGGAGTGTATGAAAGAATGGGAGGCTTCTTTCTGTGGCTCGAGAGAGGAATCTGTTTAAGGCTGCCAGGGATCCTGTAAGTTTCTGAACTTGCTTGACGTTCTTCGGGGCTTCCATGGCTAGGATCGCCTCGACTTTTGCCGGATCAACACTGATTCCATCCTTGGAGACGTGGTACCCAAGGAACTCACGCGACCCTACGCAGAAGGCACATTTTTTCAGATTGAGTTTCATATTAATCTTGTGGAGAATCAAGAAGATTTCACGCATATCCTTGCCTACTTGCTCATCTCTGTTGCTCTTGATTACCATGTCGTCCACATATATCTTGATGTTTCACCCAATCTGGTCATAGAACGCTCGATTGACGAGGCGTTGATAGGTTGCCCCAGCGTTCTTCAAGCCAAAAGGCATCTTGTCATAACAGTACACTCCGATCTCAGTGATATAGGCTGTCTTTTCTGCATCTTCTCGTGCCATAAGGATCTGGTGGTATCCTTTATAGGCATCAAGGAAACTGAGGTTCCTATAACCCGTAATACCTTCAACCATTTGATCTATGACGGGTAAGGGATAGCAGTCCTTGGGGTAATGTTTATTGAGATCCATGTAATCTTGGCACATGCGCCAAGAGTTATCCGGGCTTTCGTACCAGGACTGGGTTAGCTAACCAGGTAGGCCAAAGAACTTCTCAGAGGATATTAGCACGAACCAGCTTCAACGTTTCTTCGTTGATGACGTCATTGCAGTCTCGAGCAAATATTCTCTTCTTCTGTTGTACGGTTTAACATTGGGATCAACATTTAACTTATGTTCAAATCTCGTGGCACTCCTGTCATATTTGTAGGTGACCAGGCAAATATATCACGGAACTCGCGTAGCAAGGCGATTACCTCGGCTAGCAACGCTCCTTGAGGTGTTATACCTATGTGGATAGTCTTAGAGGATCCTTCTTGTTGAGAACGAGCTCCTGTGTTTTGCTGATAATTGGTGGCAGGCAGTTAGTGTCACGATCCTCCGACTGTGATTGAACTTCAGCTTGTTGGATTGATTGGCATCCCAATATGGCAGTGCATGGGTTAGACTTTGTGGCCCTCTTCCCAATCTTGACAGTTGTGAGCAAACATTCTCGAGAACTGCGCTGGCAGCCCTGCACTACTCCAACTCCGTATTCTGTAGGAAATTTTATCACTACGTGATAAGGAGACCAAATTGCTTGGGCTTGGCACATCCATTCTCGAGAACTGCACTGGCAGCCCTGCACTACTCCAACTCCATATTCTGTAGGAAATTTTATCACTAGGTGATAAAGAGACCAAATTGCTCGGGCTTGGCACATCCAGGGTAGTCCCAGGATCACATTGAATAGTGAAGGTGCACCTATT